ATTTAAGTTCCATTATTTAGAACCTCCCTGTGCTTTTGTCGCTTTTGCTTTAATGGCTGAGCGCACAACAACATCACCTCCTTTAGAACCAGGGATTGCACCTTTAATCAACAACAGATTACGCTCGGCGTCCACACGCACCACTTCTAAGTTTTGTGTTGTGACTTTAGTAGCACCTAAGTGACCAGGCATACGCTTACCAGGGAATACGCGACCCGGGTCTTGCGCCATACCAATAGAACCAGGTACGTTATGCGATTTTGAGTTACCGTGAGATGCACGGTTAGACTTAAAGTGATGGCGCTTAATTGCACCAGCAAAGCCTTTACCCATCGAGGTACCCGTCACATCAACCAGTTGACCCGCTTGAAAAATATCAACCGTGATATTTGTGCCCGCTATGTAATTAGCTAGCACTTCATTAGCAACTGGAAATTCATGTATGCCAGCACCTGCAGAAGAACCTGTCTTGGCATAATGCCCAGTCAGCGCCTTATTGATGCGACTTGCACGACGTGTGCCATAAGCGACTTGAAGGCCAGTATAGCCATCGCTTGCAACAGTCTTGATCTGTGTCACGCGGTTAGGAACAACCTCTAACACGGTTACTGGAATGCTTGCGCCATCCTCAGTAAACACGCGGGTCATACCCACCTTGCGACCAATAAGCCCTAAGCTCATGATCGTATCCTTATATTTAGTTAAAAAGCCGATTACAATTGACCGACTTCTGTGAAAGAGGCGGGATTATACCCAACACCCATAAATTTTACAACTAGAATTACAACTTAATTTCTACAGCTTACAGCTTAATCTCAACATCTACGCCCGCTGGTAAATCCAACTTCATCAACGCATCTACCGTTTTATCTGTTGGATCAACAATATCCATCAAACGTTGGTGTGTACGAATTTCAAATTGATCACGCGATGTTTTGTTGACATGCGGAGAACGTAAAATGTCAAAGCGTTCAATACGTGTTGGCAATGGTACGGGACCTTTTACCACAGCGCCAGTGCGTTTTGCTGTTTCTACAATTTCAAGCGCCGATTGATCAATCAAACGATAATCAAATGCTTTTAAACGAATACGGATTTTTTGAGCTGCCATTTTACTTTTCCTTAAAGAGCGAAACGGCAGAGTTTACTCTGCCGTTTAATTAAATTACAAACACTTACGCAATAATTTTAGCCACAACACCAGCACCCACAGTGCGACCACCTTCACGAATCGCAAAGCGTAAGCCTTCTTCCATCGCAATTGGGGCAATCAATTCTACCGTGATAGATACGTTGTCGCCTGGCATGACCATTTCTGTGCCTGCTGGCAATTCAACTGCACCAGTAACGTCTGTGGTACGGAAGTAGAATTGTGGGCGGTAGCCTTGGAAGAATGGTGTGTGACGACCACCTTCATCTTTACCTAATACGTAGATTTCTGCGGTGAATTTGGTGTGTGGTTTGATTGAGCCTGATTTAGACAATACTTGACCACGTTCCACTTCTTCACGTTTGGTACCACGTAGCAATACGCCTACGTTGTCGCCTGCTTGACCTTGGTCTAGCAATTTGCGGAACATTTCAACGCCTGTACAGGTGGTTTTGAGGGTTGGTTTGATACCAACGATTTCAATTTCGTCACCGACTTTTACAATACCACGCTCAATACGACCAGTCACTACTGTACCACGGCCTGAGATTGAGAATACGTCTTCTACTGGCATTAGGAATGCACCGTCAATCGCGCGCTCTGGCATTGGGATGTAGCTGTCTAATGCTTCAGCAAGTTTAAAAATCGCCGGTTCGCCGTATTCTGATTGGTCGCCTTCTAAAGCAAGTTTAGCTGAACCAATGATGATTGGGGTGTCGTCACCAGGAAAGTCATATTTAGAAAGAAGCTCACGCACTTCCATTTCTACGAGTTCTAACAGCTCTTTGTCATCGACCATGTCAGCTTTGTTTAAAAACACAACGATGTATGGTACGCCTACTTGACGGGCCAATAAGATGTGTTCACGTGTTTGTGGCATTGGGCCGTCAGCTGCTGAACATACGAGAATAGCGCCGTCCATTTGGGCTGCGCCTGTAATCATGTTTTTAACGTAGTCAGCGTGGCCTGGGCAGTCAACGTGGGCGTAGTGACGGGTGGCTGTTTCGTATTCTACGTGGGCAGTGTTAATGGTAATGCCGCGCGCTTTTTCTTCTGGTGCCGCGTCAATTTGATCGTAGGCTTTGGCTTCACCACCAAATTTTTTAGTCAATACTGTGGTAATCGCTGCTGTTAATGTGGTCTTGCCGTGGTCAACGTGACCAATCGTACCTACGTTAACGTGCGGTTTGGTCCGTTCGAATTTGCCTTTTGCCATAATATTTTCCTTAGTCTAAACTTTAAAATTAATTCACTATTTTTTGTTAATAATGGCATCAGCCACGTTTCTTGGCGCTTCTGTATAGTGCTTGAACTCCATGCTGTAACTTGCACGGCCTTGAGACAGCGAACGCACAACCGTCGAGTAACCAAACATTTCTGCCAAAGGCACTTCGGCGCGAATAATTTTACCTGACGCGCTATCATCCATACCTTGGATCATGCCGCGGCGTGATGACAAGTCACCCATCACATCACCCATATAATCTTCAGGCGTCTCTACCTCAACTGCCATCATAGGCTCTAGCAAAATTGGGTCAGCTTTACGCATACCATCTTTAAAGCCGATTGACGCGGCCATTTTAAAGGCATTTTCGTTCGAATCCACATCATGGTATGAGCCATCAAATAAGGTCACCTTCACGTCAACAACAGGGAAGCCCGCCAAAATACCTGCTGGAATCGTTTCACGTAAACCTTTTTCAACCGCAGGAATAAATTCGCGCGGCACTGTACCACCCTTGATTGCATCAATGAACTCAAAGCCTTTACCTGGCTCGTTAGGCTCCATAATCAACCAAACGTGACCATACTGACCTTTACCGCCAGATTGCTTAACAAATTTACCTTCAACTTCCACTTTCTTCTTGATTGCTTCACGATAGGCCACTTGCGGTGCACCTACGTTCGCTTCCACATTAAACTCACGCTTCATGCGGTCAACCAAAATCTCTAAGTGCAACTCACCCATACCAGAAATAATAGTTTGGTTCGTTTCCTCATCAGTTTTTACGCGGAAAGACGGGTCTTCTTGCGCCAAGCGGTTTAAAGCAATACCCATTTTTTCTTGGTCAGCTTTGGTTTTTGGCTCAACCGCAACGTGAATAACCGGCTCAGGAAATATCATGCGCTCTAAGATGATTTCTGCATTTAATGCACATAATGTGTCGCCAGTAGTTGCCTCTTTTAGGCCAACTGCCGCAGCAATATCACCCGCGCGCACCTCTTCAATTGGCACACGGTTATTGGCGTGCATTTGCACAATACGACCAATACGCTCTTTTTTACCTTTAATCGGGTTATAAACCGTATCGCCTGCATTTACTACGCCTGAATAGACGCGGAAGAAAATCAATTGTCCAACGAACGGATCAGTCATAATCTTAAACGCTAGTGCTGAGAACTTTTCTTCATCACTAGCTTTTAAGAAAAGCTCGTTACCATCTTCATCTTCTGCGCGTGTTGGTGGAATATCAGTTGGAGCTGGCATTAGCTCAACAACCTTATCCAACATCGCTT